GTGATCTCTCCGCTGTACTTATTCGATTGTGTGGCGATGTGCACGCTGACGTACATGTCCGCGTTGATGTTCATCTGCCTTGGGTTTGGGCTCTGTCCTGCCCCATCGACCATCTGCATGCAGAGTCCATTTCGCTTGAGGTGTCGCGCGGTCTATCGCCCGCACGCCTTCGCGCTCCTCTGTCTTCTCGGTTCCCTCGGACTCCTGAACACCCTCGACCCTGCTTAAAACGACGCGAAGATCGGGACAAAATCGGATCGGGATAACTCGAAATCTCTGAGAATCGGCGGGTTTGGAGGACGTATTGGGCGCCGGGGCCGCCCCAGAGCGTTCCGGAACGTTCTGAGAGCGCCCCGGAACGCTCTGGAGCGATTTATCCCGATCCTAGCCCTGTTTTACTGCTGCCTCCCTGCCCTCCCGTGATCTTCGGACCTCCAGCCTGGGCCTCCTCTGCCTCCCTGCTCTCCTCCGCCTTCTCGGTCTCCCCCACCTTCTCGGTGCCCGCGTCCTGCTTGCAGGGCACGAAGGGGCCCCAGGACACACAAACAAATACACGCACATAAGAAGATTCCCCATCTTTTCCCACATCTTCTGGGCGTCTGTCTTCCCCCCCCCTCTCCCCATATCTTCCCCTATTTCCTGGGGAATCGAGGATTCATTGTGTCTGTGTGTTTTTTCCTCTCCTGAGGGCCCCGTGGCCTCGGGCACGACCTCCCCGGCCGCGACGGGGCGCCGCGCGCGGCAGCCGGTCTGCGGCGCTGCGGGGCGCCGCCGCCGGCGGGGGGCGCCCCGCGGGGCGCGCGGCGGGGCGCCCGGCGGCCCTCGCCCTCGCCGAGGCCCCCGCGCGGCTCCCTGCCGCTCCTGGCGCTCGCTCCCGGCGGCCTCGCGCGCCCCCATCGGTCGCCTCTGCCTCCCCGACGTGTGCACGCCCTGCCTGCAGTGCGCCGCGGCCCCGCACGCGCAATCTTTTTGTCGGGCCTGTCCCCCTACAGGGGGATTTCCGACGACAAATAAAAAAAAGACCCCAAACATATATTCCAAAAAGGTCAAAAAATACTAGAAAAATTGTCCCCGGGCTATTTTTGAAAAATGTTTGACTATTTTGGGGGTATGTTTATTTTTCGTCGAAAATCCTCCTGTAGGGGGACAGGCCCGATTTAAACATACGTACTCCTCAACCAGATCGTCGGCGGCGGCGTCGGCGCGGAAGGAGGGGGCGCTGGCTGGCAACGCCACGTGGTTCTCTGGGGCGAACTCTGGTGTTCCTCACGTCGGAGGTTGGACACGACTCTCACCTGCTCGACTTCGTTATGCTCGCACTTGTCCTGGAAGACATTGTGCCTCTCTGCAGCGGCGCGGCGGAAGAGGCGACGGTCACGTCGATAGACACGGTCGCCGACCGCCCAGCGAACTTGACTCAGCGCCCGTGTCGGGTGGTGCACGTTCTGCTGTAGAACTTCGCAATGGCAATTTTGCCGTGGATGGCGTGGGCCTGCGGGGAGCCATCGATGTTGCGGTACGCGTCTTTCTCGAGTATGCGAACTCGTGCAGCTACTTCGAGGGCATGCTGTGCTGGAGGTGGTAGCTGGTCACGTAGCCAACCAGCGAGCAGTCGGGCACCTCCACATCGAGAACTCAAGCTTCTTCAGCGCGCCTCCGGGCCATGAGCCAAGGGCTGCGGAGAAAGCGGGGAACCATGGCTTGAGCCAGAATGGCTACGGTCTCCTCCTCAACCTCCTCCTCCTCCTCATGCACCTCCTCCTCCTCCTCCTCCGCCTGCCCTTCCGCCCACCTTTCGTCCCTCTTTGCTCCATCCACACGAACTCCCATCACTTCGACCTACTCTCTCCCCGTTCTCCCTCCTAGTCCTCGCCTTTCTCGCACTCGCGGCACCCCGCGCGGCCAGCAGGCGGACCGCACGCGCGCGGGCGCGGGCGTCGTGAACCCGGGCCGTCCAGAGGATGCAACAGCGGTCGAGCCCGGGCATCTAGAATGGAGGATAATCCGAGCTGGTCAGCAGAAGAAAAGCGCCATAAACAGAAACTTCTGGCGCTCCGCGCGGTTTTCCTGGATCTGCGCTGGACCCCCAGGGGCGGCGCCCGGGGGGGGGGTCCAGCGCGGATCCAGGCAACCCGCGCGGAGCGCCAAAGTTTATGTGTACGCCGGTGCTTATTCTTCTTCTTCTTCTGCTTCTTCTTATTATTATTCTTCTTCTTATTATTTTTCTTCTTCTTCTTATTCTTCTTCTTCTTGGAACCTCGAGTCGAGGAGAGTCCGAGCTGCTCCGTCAGCAAGGAGGGTGGCGCGCGAGAGGGAGGCAGGAGAGCGGGCCGTCCTTCGAGAGGGGGGCGCCGGGGTGCCTGTCGGCGGCGACGGCAGGGGCGAGCAAAAGCCCAGGGGCGGGCATCACGCGCACTCGCCCGGGAGCCCTGTCGAAGACGCAGATCATCGGCGCGCTTGGATTTATGTCGGGCGTGTCCCCCTACAGGGGGATTTTCGACGAAAAATGCAAAATACCCCGAAAATACCCCTCAAAAAAGACACAAAAATCTCAAAAATGGTCCCCAGACTATTTGTGTTACTCTTGTTTGATCACTGTTGGGGCATTTTTTTATTTGTCGTCGAGCATCCCGCTGTAGGGGGACAGGCCCGACTTACGCTTGGGCTGCAGGGACCGCTCTCCCCTGGGGCTCTTCGCCCCTGCCGCCGCCTCCGAGCGTGTGGCCCGCGCCAGGGGTCGGCGCCAACGGCGCGTGCGGGGCGCGGGGCCGCAGCAGCGGGCCGTCGGGCGGGGCGCCCGCACGGGGGGCGTGCGGGCCAGCCGCACGGCTCGGGCCATCGGGGGCGGCTCGCCTCGCCAGCGAGTCGTCCCGAACCGGATCGGCATCTTACCAGCCTCGAACGTATCCCTGTCCCTAAGATTGACACGCCAAAAGGCGATGACAATCTTAGGGATCCGGCCTCAAAAAATAAGGGGATCCCCAAGACTGGCATCGCGATGAGGAGGTGCCCAGCATAGGGATAGGGATATGTTCCAGGCTGGTAAGTATCGGTTCCCCGGGTCCCGCTTCCGGCTTGCCCTGGCCGATGCTGGGGAAAAGCGCCGGATCGCATCGAATTGGAATCGGCGCCCCGGCCGGCGAATCGAATCGCATCGCATCGGCTCGTGGGCGGCCCTGCCGGGTCCCTTGGCTTGCTTCCGCGGGGAGAGTGCGGGCGGAATCGAGGGTCACGCAGGGTGGGGCGCGCGGGCCACTCCCCTCACCACCCCTCTGACCCCCCACCTCCTCCGAGCTCAGTGGACGATGTGCTCGGCAGCGCAAGCGAATGCAGTCAAGCGGTGAGGATGCGCAGTGAGGATGCAAGGGCCTTGGAAGGCCATGTTGACGTGTCTCGGACGTGGCTGGCCAGCGAAAGCCGCCAAGGATGGGCCGCAGGGGCAAGGCTGCAAAGGGCAGCCCTGGCAAGCTGCTCGTCCTTGCTGTGCGACCCGACTGTGGCTATGCGCGGCAGCGCCAGTGCAAAAAGGTGAGGAGGCCCCGTCGAGGCATCGGCGCGGCGGGCCCTTCTCGCCCCCCTCCTCCTGCTTCTCAACCCCCGTGGCTGTCCAGGGGCCGCCCCCCATCGCGGACATCGGCCAAACCGCTTGCATCCTCGGACCGATCGGGCCGAACCCCATCAGACGGCGAGGGGGGGCCGCTCGGAGGCCTCCTCGGCCTCCGGAGCTGGTCGCCTCGAGGGGGAGGGGGAGGGAGAGGAGGCAGGGCGAGAGGAGGGAGGGACTGTCGCGAGGTGGACGAGGTTGACGAGCACGCTACGGCTCGATTGCCACAACGTCCGCGCAACGCAGGGAAGGAGAGGGGGGGGGGAAGCTGCCCCTCTGGATGTACCATCGAGCCGCCCGATGCCGCGAGAGGGGCACCGGCGCGCACCATCGAGCCGATCGCGCCGTGGAGGCAACCCCGCCCTCGCTCGCGGGAGGGCCTTGTCTCAAGTGGCCGCTCTTCGGCGAAACGCTGGGGGGAGATGGCGGCAACGGGCTAGCAACGAGCAGGAGGTGCCCCGCGGGGGCCCGGCCGCGCCAGTAATCCGGGGGAGCGACTCCGCCCCCCCCCCCCCCCCCCCCCCCCCTGAGTGGCCCTCGCCGTTCCTCCCCCCCGCGGCCGCCCGCTCTGTCCTATGCGCCCTCTCTTGCATGCTGGCCAGGTCCACTACAACGGTGCCCCCGCTGGGCAGCTCTTTCCGCCAGCGCAGACGACCCCTGCCTGGCCGCCGCCGGCGAAAGCGCGGAGCTGCCCCGACGCACGGTCGTGTTTCGCGCGGGGGGCGCGGCAAGACCCCTGCGCGATCCTCGGACGGCCCGATCGCAGGCGTGAGCCGGGGGGGAGGCGCCGCCCCAAGGCCGGGCGAGCGGTGATGTTGCTCAACGGTGATGCCTGGAGCCGAATTGCAGGAGAAACCACGAGCCACACGTCCCGACACCTCCAGTCTGCGCGTGGGTCGAGCGAACACGACACAGCGAGCTGCAGGAGCGCGCGAGCCACGCGCTCCCGCGACACCGAAGCCTGCATCGCCGTTGCCTACATCGCCGTTGGCCCGTCTACGGCCGCCCTCGAATTCTGCATTCTGTGTCCCCTCCCCCGTTTCAGGGAAGGGCCACGGCACCCAATTGTCGGAGGCGCCGGCGCCGGCGGGGGCAGCAGAGCGTCAGGCGTGGAGGCTGGAGTTGGCCTGCCCCCCGGCGCACGGTACCGCGGCACGGTCCCCGGGGCCGCCCTCTGGCCTGCCCCCCTGCACGCCCAGGCACCGCCCTGCACTCCACCCCTCGCTCATCTCCATCTCTGTCTCTCTCTCTCTCTCTCTCTCTCTCGTTCTCTCCCTCTCTCTCCCTCCCTCTCTCGCTCTCCCCCCCCCCGTTTCTCCGCCCAATCCCACCAGTCCTCTGGGCGTCGGTGGTTTAGAGCGTTTCCTCTTCCACCCCTCCTTCCCCTTCGGGGAGGGGTTTACCCCTCCCCCTACCCCCTCCCCACTGACCTGGACAGGGGGTTCCCCGGCGCGTTGGAGCGCCCAAGATGGCCCAAGACGGCTCCAAGAGGGCCTCAGGGAGCCCAAGATACCCTCCAAGATGGCTCAAGATAGCGCAAGATGCCTCAAGATGGTCCCCATGATGTTCCAAGACGTTCCAAGAACTCTCCAAGACGGTTCCAAGTGCCCACAAGAGCATCATTAGGATGCATCCAAGAGGCCAAAATGCTTCAAAACCCTAGGGAAAATCAATGTTTTTGGTGTTCTCACTTTTTCGCTTGCGATGCACATCCGAGGCGTCAAGATGGCTCCAAGATGGCTCAAGATAGCTCCAAGAAGGGCCCAAGAAAGCCCCATGACGGCGCCAAGAGCGCCGAAGAGCGCTCCAAGAGCGGTCCCAGAGCGGTACAGGAGACGATTTTTGGAGTTCCTGGGGGGGGCTCTAATTAAGGAACCCTACTTCCTTGACCGATGTCCTGCAGGATGAAGATGGCCCCAAGAGGCCCCCCAAGAGGCCCCCCAGGGCCCCCAAGAGACCCCCAAGAGGCCCCAAGAGACCCCCCAGAGGCACCCAAGGGGCAAAGATGGCCCCAAGAAGCGCCCAGGAGGCCCCCAAAGGCCCCAAGATGGCCCCAAGAGGCCCCAAGAGGCCCCCAGGAGGCCCCAAAGAGGATCCCGAACGGCCCACAGAGGCCCCCCCGAGGCACCCAAGACGCCGAAAAGCCCCTCAGGACGACCCTCTACTCGCCTGGGCGTCGTTTCTGGACGGGCTGGTGGGGATACGCGAAGCGTCTAGAATTCTCTCCCTCCCTCTCTCTTTCTCTCTCTCTCTCTCTCTCTCTCTCTCTCCCTCTCTCTCTATCTCTCTCCCTCTCTCTCTCTCTCGTTCTTCCCTGTCCCCTCTCTCTCTCTATATATATATGTATATGTATATATACACATATATACATATATATATATATATATATATGTGTGTGTATACATATATACATCTATATATATATATGACAAAGCTTCGTCTATCGGCGTCCCTCCTCCGGGCGCGCACCAAGGGCACGTTCCAAAATCACGAAGCGTCACTCAGGGAACCTTATCGGGCCACAACCTGAATTGCCTACGGTGGGGGCATTGGATAAGGAAACCTTCGATAAGGAATCCAGGGTCTGGAAGCCAGAAGAACTCCAATCGTGGAGTGGCCATGGATATCATCGCCGTCCTCATCAGATAAGGAACCTTCCAGGGTCTGCAGCCTCCTCGGCGCATTCCTTACCCAACGCCCCCACCGTCATGTTCCGGGTGGTGGTGTCATAGGCTCGTGTATCGAGAAAAGTTCGTATCCGCATGCACGTAGCACCGCAAGTCTTCGGTGAGCACATTGCCGAGAACCTGACCTCACCACCAGCAGAGGGAAAACGACAACACTCAAGGGCTGGCAGTTCTGGGAGAAGCCTCTGCGCTTCCATGGATCACTAACTCATCGGCGCCATCTCCCCCCCCACCCCCATTCCCCGCATCACTGCTTACCCTCATCCTCCCCGTCCTGCTCGTCAAACTCCCTCCCCCTCCTCCCGACTGCCTCCCGACCGCCATCCTCCCCCTCCTGGGCCTCCTCTCCCTCCTCCGGGCCGCCTCCCGCCTCCCGGACCGCCCCTCTCGCCGCCGCCCTGCAGCACCGCTGCCACCGTCCCTCCCCTCTGGACGCCCAAAATGGGTACGGAAAGAATGGGCACAATGCCCAACAACAGACCTTGCCCCAAACCAACAGCGGCCGCTGTTGGGCAGGCGGCCTTCTGTCTCGAGTGGGACACGGGCCGCGGCGACACCGACCGCGGGTCCTGTTCGGAATGAGCGGGAACTGCTGTTGGGCATTGTACCCCTTCTTCCCGCACCCTTTTCGTTCGTGCCGATCCCCCCCCTCCTGGACCGCCCCCTCCCCCTCCTGGGCCTCCTCTCCCTCCCCCGGGCCGCCTCCCGCCTCCCGGACCGCCCCCCTCGCCACCGCCCTACAGCACCACCGCCACGCTGTCCCTCCCCCCTCGGCTCGCCACTGAGCCCCCGCGCGAGAGGGGGCCCGGCTCCAGCACGCTCCCGCGCGCCCGGGGGGGCCCCCGCCCCCCGTGCTCCTCGGCCCCCCCGGGAGGAGGGCGGATGAGAGAGAGGGAGTGAAAGGGTGCAGGGGAGAGCGGGATATTTTGGCCACGCCTCCGCTCGAAGGCATGCTTCAGATATACGCTGACTGCATGCGAACGCCTGGCGGGATATTTTGGCCACGCCTCCGCTCGAAGGCATACCACTCTTCACAGAGCGCCGCCGCATGCCTGCATTCTCCGCAGCCTTTGGCTTAGAGAAGGCGGCGCGCCCGCCGAACTGTCGACAGAGATTGAGGCGAGACCAGTCAAAGTTCAGCACATCTCAGCATGGTTATGATGACGATCATTTCTCTTGTGCGTGCTGCCTGGCCGTTCGGCCGCAAGGAGGAGGAGAGCACCAGAGGTCTTTCGACTCTGGTAGCGGAGCCGGTTGGCTCTGCAGGGTCGGCTGCAGTTCCGGCCGGCTCTGCGTGCGACGCGGGCGGCGAGAGGCCGCAGCGTGGCGACCACGGCAATGGGGTGGAGTCGAGCTCAAGGCGTTGTACCTGCTGTGCGACGACCGCTCCATGTGCGGCCTGCCCCGTGCAGGCCACGACATCATCAAGTACTGGATGCTCTTCCTCTTCGACGAGTTCGACGCCGAGCAAGATCGTGTTGCTCATCGGTCTCCTCGGCATCCTGATCAACGTAGCGAGCTCGGCGGAGCCCCTGGGCTTCAGGCCCATGACGCCGCAGCGCGGCCAGCGCATCGGCGAGTCGCGGCTGCCGGCGCCGCAGTGGGGCCAACCCCACGAGCAGAACGTGCAGGGCCTGCCGGCGGCGGAGCTGGCCCAGCAGAGCACGTCGAAGGTCCCGCCGTTCTGGGCGCCGTACCTTGAGCAGCGCGGGTACCCCTTCAGGCTGTGGGTCCAGGACGTGATGCTGTGGTGCGCGGCGACGGAGCTGCAGCAGCACCAGCGCGGCCCGGCGATCGTCCAGCGGCTCGGCGGCACGGCGAGGGACCTCTGCCGCGAAGTGCCGGTCGAGGCCATTGCGCACGGCAGGTTCGACCAGCTGGGCAACCTGGTCGAGGACGGAGTGCAGATGCTGATCACTGGGCTCCGGCGGCGCTTTGGCCCGCTCGACGTCCAGTCGTCGATCAGCACCATCGTCGAACTGCTCACCTTCCGCAGGCAGGAGCGGGAGAGCGTCGACGACGCGATCACGCGCTTCGAGGCGCTGCGCGCCCGAGTGGCGCAGCTGGACGACCCGTTCGTGCTGCCGACGCCGGTGCTCGCACTGCTGTTTCTGGAGGCCCTGCATGTGCCCAAGGCTGTGTACCCCTTGGTGCTGCAGGCCAACAGCGGCCAGCTGCCACTGACGCTCGATCAGCTGAACAGCGTGATCGGGATGGTGCGGCAGCAGGGCCACTTCGCAGAGCACACCCACGCGGGACCTCAGAACTTGGCTGAAGGGTACCGCGGCAAAGGATATCATGGTCATCATTGGTTTACGGGCGAGAGCGACAGCGGCGCAAACACCTGGAACGACACGGCCGCTTATATGTATAGTCAGAACGCAGCCGGCGCGGCAGGGAGCGCTGGATCTACGTCCCAGCACTACGTGGTCCAGGACGACGAGGGCTACGACTGCTGCGCCGTCTGCTCGAGCTACCTGTACGAGGACGAGCCCGGGGACGAGGACTCGATGACCGACGACGACGACTTGGACATTTCCCAGTTCACTCAGGAGGAGCTGCAGGAGTATTATGGCGACTCCGAGGGCTGGGACTACGACACCCTGCTACATGAGTACCTGTTCGCGAAGCGCAGGTTTCGCCACTTCGTCCAACGGAACAGCCGCCGCTCTCGCTTCCCGCGCAGCAACTGGTCCCTCCGCATGAGCAGCGGCAAGGGCGGCAGCAGCTTTGGACGCGGGCGAGGCCGCGGCAAGGGATACCACTTCGGCGGATCGGTGGTGAACCCAGGCTCGCTGGCGGGAGGAAAAGGCAAGAAGAAGAAGGGCGGCAAGCACTACATGGCAGGCACGCCCGGCGCCACCAATCCCCGAGGCAGGGACGGCCGCACCATGCGGTGTCACGAGTGCGACTCGGAGACCCACCTCGTGGCCGCCTGCCCCAAGCGCAAGGGCAAGGGCAAGGGCAAGCACTTCATGTCCTGGAACGCTGGCAGCGCCGCGACGGGGACGCAGCAGGCCGGGGCTCCCGCCGCCGACCCAACGTTGGCCGCCTATGCGCCCGTGCCCACGCAGCCGCGGACTGGAGCCTTGTCTGGAGTGCTGCATTGGTTCACTGAGGACGCCCGGACGCCTGGCCTGCAGATCGACGACCTTGACGAGGACACCTTCCGCGAGGCTCTGAGCTGGGAGACCCTCGACATGCGCGACAACGTCGCGGAGCACGACATACTGACGGAGATCCAGGCCAGCATGCAGGACCGAGCTGTGGAGGAGCAGCCTCCGGTGACAGCTGGGCGATCAGCGGCCGTGACCAGCCCAACATGGTTCCCATGGTGGCGAGTGGATCAGTTCGAGAACGCTGGCGGGGAGACCTACTTGGTTCGCACCCGCATGAAGGACAGGAGCGGCGAGGCCCTGCTGGTGGACCCCGGGAGCCCAGGCAACCTTACTGGCGACGAGTGGGGCAACAGGATGGCAGCGCGACAGCAGCAGGCAGGACGTCCACCGCCTGTTCGCACCCCACTTGACCGGGTGCTTGAGGTTGGTGGTGTGGGCTCAGGATCTCAGCAGGCCACGCACGCCCATCGCTATCAACTGGCGCTGCAGGGAGGGCAAGCCGCGACCTACGAGGCGCCGGTGCTCCCGAACAGCAGCGTGCCGGCACTGCTCGGGCGAGCATCGCTGCGGGACCAGCGCATCCTGCTCGACTGCTTCAACAATCGGATGTACCGCATCGGCCCGGGCGGCTACTCCCTGCAGCTGAGTCCAGGATCATCGCAGTACCATCTGGAAGAGAGCCACGCCGGTCATCTCATGCTGCCCTGCGACCTCTACGACGAGACGGGAACATCGGGGAGTTCGGGACCCACGAGGACGATGGCATTGGCGACTTCGACGACATCCGGTCCGACGTCCTTGCCCGCAGCGACCGCACCGACTCCCGCATCTACCAGGACGGCGAGCAAGAAGACCACCACTGCGACGCCAACCGGCAGCGGCGCCGCAGCAGACAGCGCCAGCGGGCAGCCCGACGCGGGCAGCCTGCACCTCTGATCGAAGACACCCCATCTCGGTGCTCGGGACGGCGGGGGCACCAGGGAAGTACAGGGGAGACCGCCATCGGCATGGGTGTTCGGCGACTTGCAGAACCTGTGCCAGAATGCGCTGCACGGATGCGGATATGCGGTGGGTCGCAACTGTGATGTTCACAGATTCCTCGGGCAGGAGGATAAGTGGGCGGATTCCCTGCGCCACCAGCAGCCGGAGCTCGTTTGGATCAGCCTGGCTCAGCCGGGCACGTCGCGAGGCACCCGCAACGACAAGCGAGCCAAGCGTTTCGAGTGCAAGATCGCTCGAGCTCAACTTGAAGGGCATCGCTGCTGCATCGTCGAGGCGGACGAGGGCAGCGCGGTGTGGGACATGCCCGACATCCTGGAACTGCTGGACGACAGGAGGTGGCACGCAGGACGACTAAGATGGTGCAATCTCGGTGTGCGCGATGCTCGAGGATCACCAGCAGCGCAGACTACGCGCATCGTCAGCAGCAGCTACTTCGACGACCACGACGCGAAGTGTCGCTGCGGCTGGCCAGCAGGCCGACATGTTACACGGAAGACTGCTGCAGATCGGTTGGACTTCAAGGCCAGAGGGGTATCTGCTCTGGTCAAGCGGATGGTGGCCGCTGGTTGCTTCGACGGCGGCGCGAGATCCGACGCAGCCGACGGATTGTCGCCATCTGCGACAGCTACATCACGCCGTGAGGCCGGGGGTGATTCCCGACCCGGGTCGTCAAGGACGGATCCGACGACTACCGGGCCTCCAGGGTCTCGGACAGCGGCCTTGAGAGAAGCCGACGAGGAGCAGTCACGAGGTGAGCGACGTCGACCTGGCCGAGTATCATTCGCGGACGACGTCGACGAGACCGGCTGCAAGGTGAGCGCGCTGACCGCGAGTTTTCCCACCGAGCAGAGGACGCGCGACAAGGCGCGCAAGGCAGCAGACCCGGAGCGCAAGGTGAAGAAGAGGCCACAGACAGTGGAGCAGGTCTTCGACGATTGCGGCTCCGATTTCACGAAACTCTACGTGGCGAACGAGTACGAGCTGGACGAGGTGTGCTACGGCACCGAGCTCAGGGAGGACCAGTACATCGACGAGCAGCCGTACATCATGATGTCCGAGTTCTTTGGCATGATCGGCTCGGAGGCGCACCTGAACGAGAAAGACGAGCAGCAGAACTTCTTCAGCTCAGTCAAGGATATGGACACATACATGAACCTCTACTACGGCCACCTGCAGCACGACGACGTCGCGGAGTTGTGCGGTGGCGCATCTGGAACAACCCGGTTACTCGTGCGACGAGGATATCGGGGCGGTCCCAACTTCGACCTCATTTGCGACTGCAACTTGATGACGCACGAGGGCCAGAGGCAGTTTTGGGAATATCTGTATCATCGCAAGCCTCTTGTCTTACTTATTAGCACGCCCTGCACGAGCTTGAAAGGGTTTTCGGCGCTCAACAGGGTCATCAACTACGACGGTTGGCTCCGCAGTCGCAAGACATCAGTGGGGCTGGCCCGCATCGCCGCTGCAGCGGCGTGCACTCAGATGGACGCCGGCCGCCACTTTGCTTCGGAGCAGCCGCTGGGCAGCGACTTCTACAAGCTCGACGACTGGCAATACATCGCCAACAACTACGCGGTGGTGTGGTGCCAAGTCGACCAGTGCATGGCCGGCAAGATCGGGCGGCGAACGGGACTCCCGATCAAGAAGTCCTCTGAGTTCTGGGCTTCGGACGAGCGCCTGATCGCCGGACTCAGGAAGTTTCGCTGCGACGGCCAGCACGATCACGCTTTGCTGGCCCATGGTGGCCGAGGACCCCATCCAGAGCGTGACAAGTGGCGACTAGAGAACCCCAAGGATCACGCGGAGTGGGCGATTGGCATCTGCCGGGAGCTGGCAGCGAGCATTTCCCAGATGGTGGAGCGCGTGAGGTATCAGGGACACCACCTCGTTGTGTACGAGTGCTACCCCACGGCTGCTGTACCATCCAGACCAGCTGGCTCCTCTGCTTCCTCGGCGCCTGCGGCCGCAGCACCAGCCTCTGGAGCAGCAGCAGCCGCAGCACCAGCCTCTGGAGCAGCAGCAGCCGCAGCACCAGCCTCTGGAGCGGCAGCAGCCGCAGCACCAGCCTCTGGAGCAGCAGCAGCGGCAGCACCAGCTTCAGGAGCAGCAGCAGCGGTAGCACCAGCAGCAGCATCAGCAGCAGGAGTACCGCGCGCTGTGCAGCCGTGCGCAGGATGTCGGCATCATCGGCCGGCTGACCATCCATCCCACGATCGAGGGGAGACATGCAAGCATAAATTTGTGCCGACGAATCGCGACCTGAAGTGCCCGGCGTGCCGGAGTGGTCGCGCGGCCTCAGACACACGACATACCCGAATACCTGGAGAATGCCGAGCAGACAGTGTTCTCCCAAGAGCAGTTGGACCTCGAGAGCTACGACCGAGACAACCACCAGCCTCCGAGGAGCCGACGGCGAATCAGGCACCGAGCGCCGCGCGAGCCGACGCGCCAGATGCCGAACCTGAACCGCCACCGCCTCCACCTGCGCCTGCGGAGCGTCGACCTCGAGTGGCTCGAGCGACAGCGGCGGCACGGCGACTGCGATCGCGTCTGCCAGCAGCTGGAGAGGCGGAGCCGGACGAGGCATCAGGTGGCGCCTCGGGATCGGCGGACGCCATCGGCGAGGCACCCGTCGCGGAGCAGCCGGCTGCGGCCCCAGCCGCACGAGCCCGAGGCGTGGATGCGGGGACGCAGGCTCGAGGCAGTGACGAGCCAGGCTGGACCGCGTTTGACCTCGGGCACGCGCTTCGACTGCTGCACAGCCCACACCAGGAAGTCGTTCGGCGCCAGCTTCGACGACTTCATGTTCGATTTTGGCACGCTCCAGCAGCTCGCCTCAGAGAGCTGCTGACCAAGGCCGGCGCTCCTGCATCTACGCTGGCCCTGGTGAAGGAGATCTGCGACACGTGCCGGGTGTGCAGGCTGTGGACGAGACCGGGGCCGAAGAGCATGACGATCTCTCGGCTCGCGACGGGCTTCAACGAGATGGTGCAGTGGGACATCCTCTACATCGGCGAACAGATGGTGGCCCACATGATCGATGAGGCGACACGCTGGACAGTGCTTCACATTCTGGACCGCAAGACAGCGATCATGATTATCGCCGGCATCACCCAGGGATGGCTACGACCTCATGGCCCCATGAAGCTGCTGATTGCCGACATCGAGGGCGGCCTCCATGGCGAGGAGGCGTACCAGTGGCTGGACCGCTGGGGCATCGAGATGAAGGCCAAAGAGGAGGGCTCGCACGCGCAGCTGGTGGAACGCCATCACGACTTGGTGCGCAAGATCATACACCGTGTGCAGGCCCAGCTTGCGGAAGAAGGCATTGTGATGCCGTTGGAGATCGTGATTATGGAGTGTGCCCTCATCAAGAACCTCCTCATCACCGTGGCTGGCTACAGCCCCTACCAGGCGGTGTACGGCCGGCTTCCGCCCCTGCTCGCCGAGTTCGAGCCGGTGAGCGACTGCCAGATTGACGACCAGTCGGCTGGCATCCCAGGGATCTCCCGACACCATCATCGGCTACGCGAAGTTGCAATGCAAGCCATGGTGGAGATGACCGCGAAGGACAGGCTGAGGCGCGCGCTTCGATCCAAGACGCGCGCCCCGCACGAGGCGCTGCAGCTGGTGGTCGGCGACCAGGTTGACTTTCACCGACCGCCGAGCACGAAGGAGGAGTCGGGGTGGCGCGGCCCAGCGACCTTGCTGCAGGTCGGACCTCCAGTGCTCATTCGATGGCAGGGACGAGTGTTTCAAGTACGACCTCAGGACCTTCGGCGAAGCCTCGTGTACTTCGTGATGTTCACGAATAACATCTTCTTCGAGGCAGGATCGCGCGACCCGGTGGCCACCATCATGAGCTACGCGGACCAGCTGGACAGCAAGGTCGTGCGCGTCGGGTGGCTCTTTGACGCCGGGTGGAAGCGGACCGCGGACAGCCAGAAGCTCAGCGAGTTGGTCCTGGCGGTGTTGCATGTTGCCGCCAGTGGCTTCTATCTGGTGGGCTGCATCGGCGCTCGAGTGGGCAATGGCGTGTCCGTGCTCGAAGGAATGGTCGGATGCGACCACAGCTTCCTATGGTGGTGGCGGCGCGGACGCCCAGAGCTGTCCTGGTACCACGAGGCGTCGGGTTCTGCTCGATTGAAGTTGGCTCCGATATTTGGCAAGGAACACTGGCGGGACGTTAGCTTCGTGCAGTTCATCATGACGGACGACGAGTCTGTTCGTGAACTTCGGCGACGTGAACCCGAGGTTCCGCATCTTGGGGGTCCATGGTTCGGCAACCTTCCGCACGCGCGACGGTACGAGCAGCCAGAGCGACCCGAACCTGGACCGTTTCAGGACACTCCGGAGCTTCAAGAGGAAGACTTCGACATGCCCTGGCAGGACAGGCCGATATCCGACACGAGCATCCCAAGTTCATCTAGACAGACGAGTGCATCAATGCCAGTGCCCGACACGAGCATATCGAGCGCATCCAGGCAGACGAGTGCAGCATCGGACGTTACGAGGAATCGGAGCAACCGAGGGCAACATCGACCACGAGGGCCTTCTCCTGCTCCGGCCGTCGCCGACAACGCCGTGCCGCCTGTGAGGCCGCCGGTGAAGCCAGGCGGGGGTGCTCGAGAGAGATCGCGCTCACGTGATGGCCCGGATCGTGATCATGGAGCCCGAGGTTCAGGTGAACCAGCGGCGGCAGCTGGGGCTCCTGCACCCCTGCATGAGCCAGTGCTCCCGATCAAAGATGATGGTGGCGAAGACGACGACGGCGACTCGGACAGCGACGCGACCCAGGAGTACTCGTTCGCGAGCTGGCAGCACATGAGGGAGCAGGCCGCCCTGCCTGCTGTTGACACCGAGTGCGCTCAGAGCGACTTCTTCTTCGCAGCCCCGGACGCAGATCACGTGGCGGAGGCAGTAGAGGATGATTCTTCGAATTCCCGACCCGACTGCGTCGAGATCGGCATAGGTGCGCCGCTCATGTACTGGGTGTACCCTGAGGTGGAGCACACACGACGCCCTGGAGCAGGTGAGATCTACGTCCTGCGCGTCTACAACACGGGCAAGCGCGAGATCGTCGTCGAGCGCGAGATGAACGTGCTCACGCTGGAAGAGGCCCGAGCTCACGAAGTCGAAGTACGTCAGGCCATGAAGGACGAGCTCCAGCGCTGGGCAGAGTTGAAGGCATTCCAGCGCTTCCCGAAGGACCAGGCGACCAACATCATCGACTCGCGCTGGGTGCTCAAGTGGAAGGAGATCGACGGCAAGAAGCAGGTGCGCGCGAGGCTCACGGTGAGAGGCTTCAAGGATATGCAGTCACCTGAGCTGTCCACCTTTGCGGGTACTACGACACGATGGGGCCAACGACTGGTGAACCAGGTGACGGCACAGCGCAAGTGGCGGTTATTCTCAGCGGACATCAGCCAGGCGTTCTTGCGCGGCCTCACCTTCGAGCAGGTCGCCGCCATGGACGGCGAGGTGAAGCGGAAGGTACAGTTCACGATGCCGCCAGGATCGATTCCAGTCCTCCGGCAGCTGGAGGGCTACGAGGACTACAACCCTGTGACAGAGGTGTTGTTGCTCCTGCGCTGCGGTTTCGGCCTGAAGGACGCGCCGAGGCTGTGGCAGGTTATGTTGAAGCAAGTGCTGGAGAAGACAGGGGGCAAGGCGCTCATCAGCGACCCGCAGATCTACGTGTACCACGACGCTAAGGGCGAGTTGCAGATGATCATGTCCTCGCACGTGGACGACCTGAAGGGCGGCGGCGAGGACCACCTGCGGGAAAAAGTGCTGAGCATGATAGAGAGCGAGTTTGGGAAGTTGAAGCGCCAGTACGACTGCTTTGAGTGCATCGGCATCATGCACGAGCAGGACCCTGTGACCAAGGCCATCTGGACGCATCAGCAGCACTACGTTCAGCAGCTGCGACCGCTCCAGGAGGACCAGTACGTGATGGAGAACGAAGATGGCCAGGTGAGCGTGGAGAGCCACGCGGCGTACATGTCGCTGCTCGGAGGAATTGCATGGATGACGCAGACGATGGCGCCCATTGCAGTGTATGTCAGCTACCTCCAGCGGCAGGCCAAGAAGCCGGCGGTCGGAGACATCCGGAAGATCAACCGGCTGCTGAAGTGGATCATGGTGAACGCGAAGCAGCTCGGAGTTCGGTTCATCGAGTTGGACATGACCCGAGTGCGGCTGGCCGTCGTCAGCGACTCAGCCTTCCACGCCATGGAGTTCGAAGGCTTGGCGATCCGAGGCTGTGTGATCATGTTGCTGGAGGCTGACGACGAGGTGCTTCAAACTGGAACGACGTACAGGATCGTGATGCTTGACTGGTACAGTCGAAAGCAGAACAACGTGGTCAGGTCCACCTACGCCGCGGAGCTCATGGCGTTGTTGGACGCGCTCGGGACCGGCACTCTCATGAATGTGGCGATGACCGAGATCAGTGAAGGAGTATGCACGGCGAACCAGATGCGAGTGCGGCAGGAGGCTGGCGACCTGGTGTTGAAGATGATTGCTGCCATTGACGCGAAGGCAGTGTTCGACGCCATCTCCGCCGACACCATCAAGGTCACCACGGACAAGCGGATGTTCGTGCCGACGCTCGCAGCACGTGAGCAGATAGACCGCCTGCAGCTGGCGCAGCTCAGCTGGATCGACACCTTGGACATGCTGGCGGACGGGCTGACGAAAGGCGAGCTCGACCGGACAGCACTCGTGAAGTTGGGCTTCAGCAACGAGTGGCACTTGAGCGGGCTGCAGCCGGTTGCCTTCTCTGTGCGCAGTGTGCCGTAGTGCCGCGCAGAGCGCTAGAATTCCCGACCCGAGTGAAAGGGTGCAGGGGAGAGCGGGATATTTTGGCCACGCCTCCGCTCGAAGGCATGCTTCAGATATACGCTGACTGCATGCGAACGCCTGGCGGGATATTTTGGCCACGCCTCCGCTCGAAGGCATACCACTCTTCACAGAGCGCCGCCGCATGCCTGCATTCTCCGCAGCCTTTGGCTTAGAGAAGGCGGCGCGCCCGCCGAACTGTCGACAGAGATTGAGGCGAGACCAGTCAAAGTTCAGCACATCTCAGCATGGTTATGATGACGATCATTTCTCTTGTGCGTGCTGCCTGGCCGTTCGGCCGCAAGGAGGAGGAGAGCACCAGAGGTCTTTCGACTGAGGGGGCCGAGGGCGAGAGGGCCGGGAGGAAGAGGGCGGAGGAGGGCCGCGAGGAGGAGGGCGAGGGAGGAGGGCGGAGGAAGAGAGGGGGCCGAGGGCGAGAAGTGCGGAGGAAGAGGGCGGAGGAGGGCCACGAGGAGGAGGGCGAGGGAAGAGGGCGCAGGAGGAGGAGGAGGAGGGCGAGAAGGAGGGGGCGGAGGGCCAGACAGCGGGACGGACCCAGAGGCAGAGGGCGAAGGCAGAGGGCGGGGGAGAGGGCGGAGGAGAACCGGTCCAAAGGGAGGGAGAACCCACGGTGAACGTTCCCAGCAGAGTTCCAGGGAGAGCTCAAGCACACTCGCTCTCGAAGGAGGACGGGGGAGGGAGCGGGAGGAGGAGGAGGAGGCAGAAGTCAGAGGCGAGAGGGGGGCGCGCCGACTGTGTGTTGGGAAGTGCCTGCATCCGTCCGACTGGTCCTGGGAGGGCTGGGGCCCCTGCGGTGACACGTCTCCTCACCACTCTGCACTGCTCGTCGATTCTCCTTCTCCTCCTCCTCCTCCTCCTTCTCCTCCTCCTTCAGGGTGGTGGGACAGCCTCGTGCGAAAGGTCGGTTGGGGACGGGTAGAGATGGACGCTGGCCGTTCGTGTGCACAGTCGCGACGAGAAGTGGGTGCCTCCTCGGGGGAGGATAGGGGGATGATGAAGAGGAGGGGCAAGAAGCGGAGAGGAAGAGACCCAAGGGAGACATGTGGAAGAGGACGAGAGGAGAGAGCTACAGGAGGAGGAGGAGGAGGAGGAGGAGGAGGAGGAGGAAGAGGACGACAACGAGGAGGGAGGAAGGAGGAGGAGGGGGAGGAATAGGGAGAATGATAGAGGAGGGAGGCGACGGGAGGACGATGCTGCAATACTTATGGTATCACGTCACAAGTCCCAAATCCCCACCATCATATCGGGGGCGCGCGAACATGGATTAGCGATCCATGGACTTGGCTCGTGGACGCCAAATACATGGATCGGGGGAGGTGCCCTCCCCAAAATGCGGCCGGTGCCGCCTCGCTCGGCGGCGGAAATCCGTCATTTCCAATGGAAACGGGACCCGTCGCGAATCCACGCCCCCTTGGTCCATGTTTGCGGTCCCCTCATCATACTCTGAGTTTCTCAATAAGCGCCGGGGGGGCATTACCCCCGCCGACAGCCCCACATCGACCCCCGTCGCGGGCAGCCACCGCGCGCCGAAGGCACTCCGACCTCCGTCGCGGCGCGACGACGAGGCGGGGTTGACCCCCGTCTGGGGGGGGTACCCCCCCACGCTTGTTCAGAAAACCAGAGTAGATTGGTCTATCTATCGCTGGACTCTTCGTTGACCTTCCTGATCGCACCCTTGCTGGGCCCTTGTTGTAGCTGCAAGGATGGGGGGGGGAACCCTTCGCGCAACTGGAAGGGGGGTACCCCGCCACGCGTGTTTAGAAACCCAGAGTAGGTCCCCGTGTGCACGCTTCGAGCTCCGCTGCGAGGGCCGCCCCCCCCCCCCCCCTCGAGTGGCGAGAAAAGCGCCGCGTGGGCCTAAATATTGCGCGAAGGAGTTCCCCCCCCAACAAAAATCCTTGCAGCTACAACAGGGGCGCAACAGAGGTGCGATAAGGAAGGTCAACGAAGAGTCCAGCGATGGACCAATGTACTCTGGGCTTCTTAATGAGCGTGGGGAGTTACCCCCCCGACGGGGGTCAACCTCGCCTCGTCGTCGCGCCGCGACGGGGGTCGGAGCGCCTTCTGCTCGCGGTGGCTGCCCGCGACGGGGGGCGATGTGGGGCTGTCGGCGGGGGTAATGCCCCCCCGACGCTTATTGAGAAACTTGGAGTATCCATCGGTCGGAAGAAGTAGATAGAAACATGAAGTAGGAGGGCGTTGAAAGCAGATCGGATGTCCGCCCGCCCACGAACGAGGACGGAAAAGGTGAAGCCACTCGATCATTGAAGTAGGAAGGCGCTTAAAGTCGATTGGAATCTGGGACTCCAAAAATACAAATTTTCAACGACCGACGGGCACCTGTCCTCCAATATTACCCGTGCTGTACAAGAGGTTCAATGGTCACGTGATGATCTTTGCGGGTCCTTAAACGTGTGGACCTCTCGAGCGAAAACCCCAATTTGAAAAGACCGTCGTCCATCCGTGAACCTGTTTCGCAATTGGTTACTCCATGTACTCTGAGCTTAGAAATCTCAAGCGAGGCCCACAATGAAAAAAACGAACTGGCCTTCATCTGTGCAGCTGCCAAACATGCTCAAGACAAGTGTGTGGGGCACAATGGCGAGAGCCACATCTTCGTAAAACCACAAGTACTCCATCCGTGTAACTGCTCGGAACTGTCCACAACGAATGTGCACGCCGCAAAAGCGAGAGCCGTCGTTCGAAAATCACTGGCCCTCCGTCCCTCCGTGATTGAAACTGTCAGAGCTTGTCAGCTTCAGGGGTAATAGGCTGCAAGCAAGACCCAAGCGAAATGCCCGGCCCAGCCTCTGGACACGCCTGGTGTTGCGACAAGGGGAAATTGTTTTTGTTCCTTCCGAGGGAGGACTGAGGAGACGGGAGACAGGTGAAGAAAGGAGTGCGCAGCACGGGGAGGAGCAGAACACCAGAGAGGAAGAACAGACTTGCGCATCCTGCACCCAGCCAGCGTCTTCGAAGCTCCCCCAACGGCTGCCTCTGCACGTCGTCCAGACTGCCGCTTCAAGGCCACAATCAATCATGGCGACGAACTCGGCGACGGGTCGACCCTCCATCAGCAGACGACATGGGGGCGGACAGCAGATGGCTTGTACTCTCTAACACTTTGGACATGTGTACAAACCCAGAATGCGGGTTCAAACTGTGCGAACATCTGCCCCAATAGGCCCAAAGAGCCCCCGACCAACGTTACTTGAGGCTACTCTGATGGAGCGAACACCAGAGCACGGCGAGCAAGGCGAAAGGGGCGCCTTTCTCAGAAGGCAGCCCCTCCGCCTCTTGACGTCCTTTTTTTTTTGGGGGGGGGGGGGGGAGCGATCCCTCTTTAGGGGCCCCCTTGCATGCTCCGAATAGCGCCCCAATTCGCCAGGACCCCCTTCGCGCGGTGCCGTGGGACTCGGCACCCGGTTGCAACCGCCGGCACCCCTCGGATGGCACAGAATCATGCATCTTGGCTCATGTCGGGCCTGTCACCCTACAGGGGGATTTACGACGAAAAATAAAAGATACCCCCAAATAAAAAAAATCGTTCAAAAATAGTCTGGGGACTATGTTTTGAGTATTGGTTGGCCTTTTTGGGGGTATTTGTTCGGGGTATGTTTTATTTTTCGTCGAAAATCCCCGTGTAGGGGGACACTTTTTGATCCGCGGGTCGAGAGCGCACCTCTTCCGGTCGAAGCTAAGCGGGCCGCGCGAAGCTTGAATTAGGCAGAGAAGAGGAGGGAGGAAGCGGCGGAGCCTCAGAGCGAGGCCGAGAGGAGGCATAGCCTCGGATACAGGCGGTACCGAAGCCGAAGTTCTTGCAAAGGGACGCCTTCGGCAGCCCTGTAGGGGGACACGCCCGACATAAATCTTGGCACCTGGGCGGGCCAGCTCGGAGGACAAGAGAAGAGGCCTTCGCACGGCGGGCGAGGCGTCGGTCGGGCAGAGCGGCGGCTGTGCGACCGCGCGGGCTCTCCCGGGGGGGAGGTGGGGCGCCCGAGCCGTGCTCGGCGACGAGCGGGCGACTGGGGAGGGCACAGGGCAGTTTCTAATACAGAGGATTATATATATGTATATATGTAAGATTTTTAACCCATGATTAACGTATGAATGAATGTATGCATGAACTGATCGTTGTTTTTAATACTCTAAATCCCTGCATTTGTAAAACATGATCCGCACGCGGAGCACGTATTAAAAACGGCACTGTACAGTTGGGGCCCGACCACAAGAAACCTGCCACAAGAAACCCAACCCCGAGACCCCGGGACGTCCATCGCTGTCTGGTGTAAGAGAATCACGCTTTCCGTGGCAGACCCGTCGAAACCCACGAGACCCAGGGCGCCCTGGAGGCAAGCAGGGTGTTTTTTTTGGCATGGGTCTCCACTGTAAGATGTCCCCTGGCCGCATCGCATTAGGTCGGGCGCGTCCTCCTACAGGCGGGTTTTCGACAAAAAATCAAAAGTACCCCGAACTACTCAAAAACAATCAAAAATAGACAAACAAATCGTCCCCAGACTATCTTTTACTAACTATTGTTTGCATGTTCCTCCTGTGGAGGGACAGGCCCGACTGGGACCACGCCCCCACGATGATGCCCTCGCTGGCGGTCGGCGGCCGGCCCCACTGCCATCCCCTCCCCCCCGTGAGGCCTGCGAGCCGGCCGGGCCACCGCCGCACTGGAGCGCGCAGCCGTAGGAGCCGCGCAGCCTGTCCGCTATGCGCTCACAGCCCGCCCGCACTTCGCGCACGCAGCCCAGCTCGACGGCGCAGGCGAGGACGCACTGCATGCTGCCGCAGACGTCCGAGGCGCCGTGCTCGGTGCTGGCGTCGACGAGGGCTCTGATCATGCTGACCCTCTCGGTTGGATCTGCCCGAGCCTCCTGCAGAGCAGCAGAGATAGGGAGCCCACAAAGGACGCCCGCGCCCAACCATGTACATGAGACGGCCCCCCAATCCGCGAGACCGGCCGCGTGATACGAACGTTCGCGCAATGCGTACTCTCGAAACCATCGTGGGTTCATGTACGTGTGCGTCCTTCTTTCGCCCCTGGAAAGAAAGCCGCCACACTCCGCGCGGATTTCCTGGGTCGGCGCTGCGGCCCCCGTGCCGCCGCGCCTCCCGCACCGGGAGAGTGGTGGGGGTGGGGGCCCAGCACCGACCCAAGAGATTCGCGCTCGAGGGCCTCCGAAAGCCGGTGCCTCTGCGGCCGCTTCGCGCTCCGATCCTCGGCGCACCTCTCGGGCGCGAGCGCCGCCGGCCGGAACGCCTCGCACGCCAGAAGGCACCTGCACGCCACCTCCGGGTCGGCGCCGGGGCAGGAGGCGGCGGCCGCCTGCCGCTGTGGGCGCCTCCTCCTCCTCCTCCTCCTCCTCCTCCTCCTCCACCTCCACCTCCACCTCCACCTCCACCTCCACCTCCACCTCCACCTCCACCTCCACCTCCACCTCCACCTCCACCTCCACCTCCACCTCCTCCTCCTCCTCCTCCTCCTCCTCCTCCTCCTCTCCTCCTCCTCCTCCTCCTCCTCCTCCTCTCCTCCTCCTCCTCCTCCTCCTCCTCCTCCTCCTCCTCTCGCCTCCGCCTCCGCCTCCGCCTCCGCCTCGCCTCGCGCCGCCGCCTCCGCCTCCGCCTCCGCCTCCGCCTCCGCCTCCGCCTCCGCCTCCGCCTCCGCCTCCTCCGCCTCCTCCTCCTCCTCCTCCTCCTCCTCCTCCTCCTCCTCCTCCTCCTCCTCCTCCTCCTCCTCCTCCTCCTCCTCCTCCTCCTCTTAGGGCAGGGTTGGGCGTCGGTGCACGGCCTCCGGCGCCCCCTGCCCCGAACAGGGCGCGCGGAGCACGGTCTCCTTACGTGCCCTGTTTCGCGCACTTTCGCGCCACGGGGGCATGGCCCTGGGCCGTCGGCGCTGCTGTTTGAGCACGGCTCAGGCCTGGCGTTGGCGTTGCTCGCCAGAAGATGTCGCGCCACGGGGGCATGGCCCTGGACCGTCGGAGCTACTGCTTGAGGTAGGCCTCAGCAGTGTGGCGTCAGCGTTGCTCGCCAAATGTTGTCGTGTTAAACTCCTCCTCCTCCTCCTCCTCCTCCTCCTCCTCCTCCTCCTCCTCAGCGCCGCGCTTCTCCTTGGGAAGACGCGAGCCGTGCACCACGCCGATCCTGGCTAGGCCCATCCTGGGCCCAGGACATGTGTGCGCAATGCACACCAGCCCTGGGCCCAACGTACACCATGTGCACGCTGTGCACACCAAGCGCACCAGTCCTAGGCGGGCGTGCGCATTGCGCACGCCCGCCTGGCCTGGCCAGCATGTGGCGCGGGAGGGGCCCGGCCAGCGCCGGCGCGGCGCCAGAAGCTGACGCCCCCGCGTGACTAACCAAAAAAACCCAAACCGTTGGGAGGGGACCTTTGGATGTCCGAAAACATTGGGGATAGGGGGTCTTTTCTGCAGATGTATCAAACCAAACCGCCCAGAATTATAGTTGCCGAAGACGGAGAACTCAGGCCGCGTCTTCATTGTTTTATTATGGGGGAGACGTCAGACTCGGGTTCTGGGAACTCGGGTTGGCCTGGTGGGGCCACCACGAAAATGACGAGGCCCAATCTGAAATCTGACGCGAGCTCCCGCTGCGGACATCCCACGAAAACTGGACCGTCACGAACCAGAGCGCGTTCGTCCGAAAAAGCCGGAAAACCAGAGTCCTACGTTACCCTGATATTACGATATTACGGCGCTCGCTGACGGGAGGAGGAGGATGAGGAGGAGGGGGGAGGAGGAGTGGGAGAAGGAGGAGGAGGAGGAGGAAGAGGAGGATGAGGGGGAGGAGGGGAGAGAGGAGGGAGGAGGAGGAGGAGGAGGTGGAGGAGGAGGAGGAGGAGGCGGAGGGAGGGGGAGGAGGAGGAGGAGGAGGAGGAGGAGGAGGAGGAGGAGGAGGAGGTGGAGGAGAGGAGGAGGAGGAGGAGGAGGAGGAGGGGAAGGAGGAGGCGAGGAGGAGGAGGTGGAGGAGGAGGAGGAGGAGGAGGAGGAGGAAAACGGGGAGGAAAGGAGGAGGAGGAGGAGGAGGAGGAGGAGGAGGGGAGGAGAGGACGAGGAGGAGGAGGAGGAGGAGGAGGAGGAGGATGAGGGGAGGAGGAGGAGGAGGAGGAGGAGGAGGAGGAGGAGGAGAGGGAGGCTGGAGGAGGAGGAGGAGGAGGAGGAGGAGGAGGGAGGAGGAGGAGGAGGAGGAGGGAGGAGGAGGAGGAGGAGGAGGAGGAGGAGGAGGAGGAGGAGGAGGAGGTGGAGGAGGAGGAGGAGGAGAGGAGGAGGAGGAGGAGGAGGAGGAGGAGGAGGAGGAGGAGGAGGAGGAGGGTGAGGGGGTGGAGGGAGGAGGAGGAGGAGGAGGAGGAGGAGGGGAGGAGGAGGAGGAGGAGGAAGCGAGGTGGAGGAGGAGGAGGAGGAGGAGGAGCAGGAGCAGGAGGGGAGGAGGCGGAGGAGGCGGTCCTCTGCGGGGGCGGCTGCGCTCTCCGCGGCAGGCCGCCGCCGCGCAGCCTCCGCGGCGCCCGCGGCGGGGCCCCGCGGCGCCCTGCCAGCGAGGGGGGCGGCGAGCAGGGCCACTCCTGCGAGGGCGGCGGCCGCGCCCGCGGCGGCCCACCCCGCGGCGCCCAGGCGGCACCGCCGCGGCGGCACGTCGCCGCTGCGCCGGGGGCTCTCCATCAGCGCGCGGGCGGAGCCTGGCGCGGGGGGAGGGGGCGATAGTTAGGTTGCTCCCATCGTACGGACGGACCAAGTCCTGGAAAGAACTTCGAGCACCCAGAGAAGTATCGGAACGGTGTCGAACAGGTATCGCCACCCAGGGCCCGACACGTGAAAACCCTCAAGGTTCGGTACTTTCTGAGTGCTCAGATTTTTTTGGTGATCAAGGCCAACGTAGGTTGGAACATCATAAGGCGAGAGGCAACAGGCGGCGCCAATTCTAAACTCGGAGCTCGGCCGAAGTCGGCCGAGTCGCCGGGGGGGGCCAAGCCAACACCCGGTCGCATCGTGCAACAACAGGACGGTGGGGGGCTTGGGCTGTGCTCGGCCTCTGGGAACCGTGGCGCTGGGCCCCGGGACCGACGAAAAAAACGCGTCGGGATGAAAATCGGGCCCCGTCCTGAGGCGTGAGCGGGAAACTCTGGGGTATTCCAGGCGGTGGGAAGGTCACGACATCGGGGGTCTGGGCGAGGGCCCTTTGGGCGATCGGCGCTCTGGGCGCTCGGAGTGCGGTCCCCGCCCGCGCTCACCCCCCCCCAGCCCCACGGGGGGCCGGAGCGGGAGTACATGGGCGCCGCGGCTCTGGTCTGTGGGGCTGTAGTTTCTTGTTTGTCTTGTTTTTTTTGTTTCTCTCTCTCTCTCTCTGTGTCTCTGTCTCTGTCTCTGTCTCTTTCTCTCTCTCTCTCTCTCTCTCTCTCTCTCTCTCTCTCTCTCTCTCTCTCTCTCTCTATATATATATATATATACATATATATATATTTATTTATGTCTCTTTCTGTTTTTGTTGTTCTCTCTCTCTATCTCTCCTTCTGTTGTTTGTTTTCTCTCTCTCTCTCTCTTTATGTCTCTTTGTGTTTGTTCTCTCTCTCTCTTTTTTCTCTCTCTCTCTCTCTCTCTCTCTCCCTCCCAAAACCCATGCCCTAACCCTGGGACGTCCAGAGTTGGAAACACCAACCGGGGGTGTGGAACAAACTGGGGGAACGACAGGGAAAGCCTGGCTCGGGGGGGGGAACGTCGATTTGGGATCGGCGATATCCCGCCGATAGATAGCACCCCGCGAGCGAACGCACACGCTCCTGGGAGGGGCGACCAATCGGGCCCCCATCGGACCCGAATGGGACACAAGGGGTTCGATGCAAGCCCCATTCGCCTATCCCTCCCTCCCCCTTCACGTTGCCCCTGGATCACCTTCATCCCCCTCCTCCTCCTTCTCTTCCTCTTCCTCCTCCGCCACCTCCTCCTCCTCCTCCACCTCGTCCTCCTCCTCCTCCTCCTCCTCCTGCCTACTTGAATGTGCTGGTATGACGGTGGGGGGAGGGGGGTGGGGGGGGGTTCCCGCCGGAACTGTGTTGCAACAGGGAGCTGATGGCGTTCGGGCATCTAGTGGGCGGGGCGTTGGTGAGCGAGGTCGAGGCACACTGGCACGTGAAGCTCTGGGGGTTCTGGTGAGGAAGGGGGAGCAGGAAGAGCATGAGGACGATGACTGGGACGATACTTGGGGCCGGCGGCCCCGCAGTCCGCCCCCCGACCCTTCGCCCCGAGCGCTCTTCATAGAGGTCAACAAATCCACCCCCTATAATAACCACCCCGACACGCGAAGTCGTTCAACAAACGCGCCCAAAGAAGAAAAACAAACAAGGCAAGGCTGTTCAAAAAACGCCCAAGGCCGTTTAGTAAACGCAAACTGTCTGGTCCGGCTGGCTTTTCCTCCCTTGCCTCCAGGGCGCTCGGGAGCGGTGCGCGGCCGCCCCCGCGCCCCCGCGCTCGCCGCTGCTTCCTCGCCAGCGGCAGGCAGCTGCCTTCGCCGCCGCCCAGCGGCCGCGCCCACCCTCCGCCTCCAGCCCGCTGCACGGCCCCAAAAGCCCGGAGGCCGCCGGGGAGAAGCGCGCGGTTTGCCACCGAGCAACCTTACTGAAGCAGCAGGCGGATGGACAGGCCCCCCGGGCGCCCTGCTGGCCCTCGGCCGCTGTGCGCTGCCGCTCGGAATGTGGCTGCTGCAGCGTCTGGCCTCTGCCCTGCACTTTGACCCGCCCGGTCTTGGGCCTCCTCGCCGCGCCCTCCATCTGGGTCACCAGCTGCTCTCGCCGGTGGTCGCGGGCGCGCGCCTCTTCAGCTTGTGCTGCATCATATTCGGCGCCTGGCGCCTCTTCTCGACGGGCTCCTGCACGCCCTCGTTCACGAGCTCGACCTGCGGGATGCTGACCGTCTTCTACACCTGGACCGCCTGCGCCTGCGGCTCGGCGGCCTTGACCTTCGCGGCGAATTCGTGTAGTTGTGCGCTCTCTGCGCCGCTCCGCTACTCCTTCGCCTTCCCTGGTTCGCATTGCGCATGGCGCTTCCGCCGCGCTTCGCACTTGCCCTGCTGCCGCATGAAGCTCCCCAGCCATCAGCGCCCCCATGCCCCGCGGCGCGATGTGGCGCGGTGATCGTGCTCCAACCTGTCGGCGTCGCACCGTGTCTCTTCCCTCTTGCCGTGCTCCGCGCCTGAAACCGCCGCGCCATCCGGCTAGTGTGTTCGCCCAGGTTTGGGAGGCCTGCCGCTGCGAAGGCGCGCCAGCGGGCCCTTTGCCGAAATGGTCGCCCATCTTCTGCATGGGCCTTTGAAACGCTGCATCCTGCCGCGCCCGCCCGTGGCCAGCGATCCCATTGCGCCGCATGTCCCGCGCCGACATGCGTCGCGCACGCAACCGACGTCGCGCGCGCGGCGGGCGCTGCCGCGCGGCGCGAGCGCCATCTACCCTGGCTCCGCGGCCCAAGCAGCGTTGCCCAGGCGCTTGGCGCACATGGGCATCGAGTTGCACCCGTCCGCCATCGCAAACTTCTCCGGCCCTGTGCCGCATTCGAACCAGTTCCATTTACCGGCCGCTCGCCTGTGCAAGCGGTGGCACGTGGTACCCGAAGGCCATGCCAAGGCTGCCCGTTCGGCAGTCGCGCGGCACTTTGGGGCGACCATATCGGCAATGCGGGCCGTCGCCGCGGCTGTACGACTGAGCGCCCTCTCGCGAAGTCTCTCTCTATCGGCCCTGGTCTGCGCCCGGGAAGCGATGGGGTTGGCGCCCTTTTCGGCGCCTCTCCGCGCGCGCCTGCGGCGAACGCATTGCCTCTAGTGTCAGCATGGGCCGCCGTTGCGCTGGATCGTCTTGATGTCCACGTGAGAGTAGCACTCGATGATAGTCACACCGCGCACACCTTCTCGTCGGGTCTGGATCGCGGATCGCGTCTCTCGTCCTTTGCCACCGCTGGCCAGCGGTCCCCAGGGTCTCCTGTAGTTGCAGCCGCCTACGGCCGTCTGCGAATCGCTGACTATAATGATGGGGCCGCGCGTGAGCCTCAGGGTCCACCAGGCTGTTGCCAGCTCAGCCGCGCCCATGGTCAGTGGCCCGTCTACCTCCCCCAACCAGCCAGGGCACTCGTCCGCGGCGTCAAATATCTCCTCGAACATCTATCGGGGGTGGAACCAGAAGCGCTCGTCGTAGAGCGCCGCGAGGGATGACCTCGGCGACCGTTGGTCGAGGGTGGCCCCTCCCTGCAAAACAATTGCAATGCGCTGCAAGACATGCAATTCCAATATCGCGTCAGGATGGTGTGTCCCCGACGGTTGTGGCCCCCATTATGTTGTGATCTCCATTGTGGTCCTGGATTTTCCCTCCCGGGTTGCAGGGCCGCGTTCCTTCGCGCGCGCCCCCCCCCCCCATCATGCGTCGCGGCATTGCGAGCGCGTGATACCCGCTGCCGTATCCTAGCCATGGTGTACACCATGGGCACCCACATCGCCATTGCTGCCTTCCTGGTCATTTCTGTCGCGGGCCAGCCCGGCTGGCGTGCAAGGCCAGCAGTCGGCGCGAGGACGCCCCAGCGTAGGTCGCCATTGGCAGAACACTCCCAGTAATGGTGCTCGAGCGTGGGCACGCGTGGCCCGCCACAGTGGTCGCAAGTATTCGATGCCTCCCCTGCTGCGTGTGATTGCAGGAGGGCGTCTGACGCAACCCACCCACACAGTGCCGCGGTCACGCGTGAAACTATGTCAGGAAAGGCACGCGCTGCATGCTGGGCGGCCCGCAAGGCCGCCGTCGGGAAAGGAACGCACAACGCCGGAGGGCTCTCCCGGCGAGTCCAGTTCTGTAGCACGGACCATTCCGTAGATCGTGGGATCAGGCGAAGCTCGCGCAGCTGCTTGCCCGCCCCGTCGGTGAACCGGAGGGTTTCCCAGGCGGCCCCCCCCGCTCCCAGTTGTCGTCCTGCTCGGCACCAATGGTAGCCAGGTGAGCTTTGTAAGCAAGGATCGGCCCCTTCGTTTGCGCACTCGTGACAGCGCGCCCCCAGAAGGCGAGGGCATCTCGGCCCTGCCGACGCAGCCGGCAGCGGAGCAGCTGCAGGGGTCGCCGGCCCAGGTGCTACCGCACGTCTGCCTGATGCCCCATGGGAAGCATGCGGAGTAGTTCTCTTTTCCATCTCTTGAGGGAGACCGCCCGTCGTGCCAACTGCTGGTGGTTGTTGGTCATAATCTGCGTAGGCGGCGTGAGAACCAGCGCCCATGTCGACACGGGTACTGCCATCGCAGTAGCCGCAAGCCGTCGTAGTCGCAGCGACAGAGGCATCGAGGCGATACGCCGGAGTCGCGCGCACCCCTCCTCGCACTTGCGGTGCTCCCTGTTGGTCAGCCGGGCCCTGTGGAGATTAAGATGCAGACCCCGAAATTCCAGGTTCATCCCAGCCAGCTGACCGGCAGCACACCTGTCTGGGTAGATAATAAAGTTTTGCGTCTTGGCGTGGTTGGTCCGTAAAAACCTTCAGCCTTTCTGGGTGGTCCCGTTCCTGCTGTATGCGCTGCATATATTTTAGTGTGCTGGTCATAGCTGTCCGGTCGTCCACGTAAGTGCAACACGTGGCGGTTGGAGCTAGGGTTCCAATTCTGCGCAGGGGTCCAACAAGAATCGTAGCCACCGCCAGCATGGCGACGGGGTCACCTTGAGGCAGG